CGAACATGTTTGAAAATTGCCAGCAACTACTAGTAGTAGTACGCGGCGATTTTCCATCGCTGCAACTATCGCAGGGCTGTTTAAACGTACGATTTTAGTTGCGATAGCAAAGTGGCGAATATCGCACGAGAATCAAAATCACACTGAAAAAATCGCAAGTGTAAACAGGCCTTAACTGGTAAAAGGGTATGGCCACTTTCAAGATGATACATGTAGCATAATGGTTTCTGCCATCATAGCCAGAGAAACTGACTGACCGCTAAGAAAATGTCTTACCTATAGCTTGCACCTGTAGCATGTTTCCTTCTAATGTACCAGGATTTGTTAAATGTACCTAGAAATAGTTGAAATCTTGAACATAACTGCTTATCGACGGAGGAGGATAAGAAAGAAATCATGAGCCTGAACCTCCATTTAGTAGTTTATCAAAATAATATTTAAAAAATATATCAAAAATATCTATTATCTTAGACGATCAACAAGGCGCAATTAGTACATTTTCAAGTATCTCAGCAAAATTAAAGAATTTATTACCTTAATAAGTTCTACAATTTGAGTGAAGTATGGGACAATRTTTTCTTTGGCTGCATTTGCTGAGAAGGGAAATGAAATACGGTTTAAATATAATATAATAATATTTAATTATGATTATGATCTTTGATAATCAGGGGAAAATATTACCTGCAGCTCCAATACCACTCATCGCAAGTTCTTTCAAATGTGTATACTGAAATAGAAAGAAATTATTTCAGCCATTGCGGACAATAATGTGAATGACACAGAAAATCCAGAAATATCACAACTAAATCCTCTTCACACACATCTATTTCATCTCTACTAACATCAGTGAGCGCTGAAAAAAATCGCGCGCTATAAAGGTTGTAAATTTGATGTAAATATGATGTACGTGTCCAAAATTCTGTAAATTTGATGTAAATGAACCTTTAAAGCGTGCTATTTTTTTCAATGGAGAAGGACTATACTAACAAGGCAATGGGATATCCTTCACCCAGTCCTCTCTCTTCTCTATTTTTCCACAGGGATCCCGAAATTGGAAACATTAGATGTCTACAGAGGAGGCTAGTTTGCATACCTTATTTCCATTGTTTATATTGTCATACTAATATTTCAGACAAAGCTCAAGGTGTCTAATCAGCAATATACTGTCAGTCATCAATCAAAACTGTTGGTGCTGAACCTATTTTTGCGGTTATATATAATAGTTATTTTTGCGCGATGGGGACCTGTGGTTTTGCACCAAAGCAGAATCAGGCAGCAACACAAAAATGTTCCTTTTGAGCTTGTTTATCTTTTTTGCAATGTCAGGAAAATAATTTTTGTTGGTGAAAATGTCATAATTTTGACATGTCTTGGCAACTCTTGTTCATTTTAGGGCTGCAGCAAACATGTTACTTGCTTTGGATTTAACCGCAAAAAGATTTAGTAGCAACTTTGGTTGACTGACAGCAGCAGTCTATTGCTAATTACATCTCAAAACGTTTGTCTGAATTAGCTGTGTGGCAAAAGAACCATTTCAATTAATATCTAACGTTTGCATTGATCTACATGTACACTCAATAATTTATTTTATTACACGACTGATTGTAACATACCGGTGAAGTTGACAGGACAAGTAATAATTTCTCTAGAAGTGTTGGTAAATATGGCAAAATGCCTTCACCTAAACCAAAAAAAAAACACACACATAAAACCAGAGTGAACATCTTCCACAACCCACAAGCAAAATGCAACATTCCAGTTCTTAGTGCTGTCAATCAAAACTCTAAAATTCTTTGCACTGCTATAAGAATCCCTCAAAACAAAAGGGTTTGGAGTTTGTTCAGGTTTCAAGGAGTTTCAAGGATCTCAAAACCAGTTTTAAAAATACCTCAAATTAATGCTTGGCTAAATTGATMCCAAAAACATTACATTTACAACAACCAAGACTGGTTCAAGGACTAAATTATCATTTTCAAGAACCTTTCCTACAAATTCAAGGACTTTTCAAGGAAAATTTGCAATCAAGGACTTTTCAAGGACCTAGCTCAAAAATCAAGGACTTTTCAAGGACCWAGCTCAAAAATCAAGGACTTTTCAAGGACCTAGCTCAAAAATCAAGGACTTTTTTCAAGACTGTACGAACCCAGTTATATTTGACAAAACTAATTGCAGTGTTAAAGATGCCTGAAGGAAGAAGGGAGAGAGGAAGATCCAAGATGACCTGGCATAGGATAATGGAAAGCGAGATGAAATACACGGAATGGCGGTCATGGGACATGCAGCCACAACAAAGAAAAATGGAAAACATTCATTATCTATGGAGGTCATTTGTGCCACAAGGAATTATAAAATAGGAAGAAAAATTGCAGTAAATTGTCAACTTTGTTGTAATGCCATTACCTAAATTTTCACAGAACGATTCTAAAGCATAGTATGTCCGTGTTGCACTGGAGCTCTGGTCCTTATTASTGACAGTACTGTGTCCAAGGTGTTCCAACAGAAGAGGGAGGATTTTATCACTGTACGAACTGATATCAGGCTGAAAAAGAAATAAATCTCTTGTTAAACATCAAGTACTAAGGATGTCTGTCATATACAACCCTTTACAAAAATTATGACAATTATAGTCTTCTTCAAAGTTCCCTGCACCATCTTGYAAGGTAGCCATGCCTTTGCATCAAAGCAAGATGACCATTGAGTGTGCAATGATAGAAACCTTCTTTCACACCTACAGACAATTATTCACAGGTATCTATCATTGCATGCTCAATGGTCATGTCTTGCTTTGATGCAAAGTCACAGCTACTTTTCAAGATGGCGCAGAGAATTGTGAAGAAGACTATAATGGTCTTCTTCACAATTTTCAATTATAATTAATAGACTGAATATATGTGTACTGCATAATTAATTATATACAAAATACCTCTTAAAGTACAGGTACTGAAAATTAGGGATGGCTGTGTAAGCATATTTTCATATTTTCAATTAATTAGAGTTTTAATGTTATAATTTCAAGGCAATTTCCYATGTTTTTAAAATCTAATGATTATAATGACTAATATCTAGTACCTGYAAATGTTCTGAAAACTGTCCAAGAGCAAAGAGMGATGCATTTTGAACAACATGGTGGCCATCTTGGAGACCTACAGAACAATAATACACCAGATAAAATATAAAGATAATTACAATAAATATTAATATTAATTTAATAAAAATAATATTCTACATAGTGCAACTATCCCATCCCTAACCCCTGAGTTTTGAACTTAGTYATATTTAAAAACAAAAATAATTAATGTTAATTAGTACCTTGACAGACTGTTTGCAGAGCTGCTTCTAAATATCTACAAATTTATGAAAGACATAAAATAAAATATCAGACAATAATACAACATGACAGAATTATAATTGWACGTTCAAATTGTTTTGATTTAAGAATTTGACAAAGAGACACACCAATTCACAAATTTTCAGAAARTCAAGCCTACTAGAATATGGGGTTCCCTTGACCCATGCATATGTGGACTCAGAGATGCAGACATTACCTGTTTCTAATATAATCTGCACAACCTTCAGCAAGAACTGCCAATGCTATCAGAGCTGCTTTTCTTTCATATGGATTAGCACTTCCTAGKGCTGGATCTATGAATTGCATCTGAACGAAAGGATGCAAGAATAAACAAATTAATAAATGAATTATTAATAGAAAAATCAACAGATGAATGAACAAATGGAAGGATGAACAAATGAATGGATGAATGAATGTGATGATTGCACAGTCGGGATGAACTGAAAAAAAATAAAAGAATACCCAGATGGAATAGAAGGATATGAATAAAAGATATAAAAATGGATGGATGGATGAAAAAATGAATGAATGGGATGATTGGACAGATGAACAAATAAATAAAAGAAGAATACTCAGATAGATGTAATGACCAGATGAATGAATGAACAAATCAGTGAATAGAAGGATATATGGAAAAGGATGGAAGAATAGACAAAAGAATGGGAAAATGAATGGATGGAAGGTTGACTAAWTTGTACATACCAGAGGAGGAATAAGTGCTTCTGGAGGAAGGTGTAAGGCAAGGTTGTCAAGAACCTGCAAATAAAATTTTTTGGATTAAATTCTCAATTTTCTCCCATCAAGAATTCAGAATGTTCCAGGAAACCACACCTGTGAAGCTACAGCACATGGTCGACTTGCTTCAATGCCATCTTCAAGGTCATCATCCTCCAAGTCTTCGATTTCYTCCTCGTTTGGAGGAGAAGCCATGATTGGGAAAATGACTGCCAAGGTTGGAGCAATCAGCTTGTTCTTGATCAAAGCCTACATTGTATAAACATACATTTTTTTGGGGTCCGTATCCTAGTCATTTGCTCGCTGTGATTGGCTAGCACGCGGTCCGGTTTTTAATTTTTTTTTAAATGTAAATTCCATTTGCTTTATTCACAGTTGTAGTAAAAAAACTGATTATCATGGTTATGAACGTGATTACGATTACGATTAATATTTATTCTTCATTATCATTATAATACTTCACATTATGATAACTAGGGATAACTCATTTGTAAACTGGCCATGACACACTTCTAMATTACACTTGCCTTGGGCTTAATACGAGCTAACCAGCTGATAAAGTACAATGCCTTGGTTCKTGAGCTGTGGCTATAATTGGCATTCATTGCTAACTGGAATGAAAAGAAATACATCATTAAGTCATGTATTCCACAGTGCTATGCAGTTCACATCTTCACATGATTGCGTTCCTTAAATTACACCTTTATACAACATTTACTGACAATAACTTGAGAGAAATGATTGTACATTGTACCTTTAAGCAAAACTCCATGAGAGGAACAAGGTGAGGTGTRACAATACTGACTTCAGACTCCACTAGCTCATCAAAGATCTCCATAGCTTCACATGCTTTGTCCTGTGTAATAGTACATATTTTTTGATTGACATCCAAATGTTTTCACTGTGATGGCAAATTGCATGATTGAGATGTAAACGGTTGTGTTCACCACATGTGCTTTGATTGATAAATAATGATGCTGATAGATACAGCATGCATCAAATTTGAAGTGCCCACTTTGATTGATGCGTTGATTGACATTTTCATGTACTACATACCTCATCAATAACAAGAAAAGCTTCAACAACATTCATTATTTTTGGTATAAGAGGTCTCATTGCAGCCTAAAAACAAGAATAATTATTTGAAATATTTCATAAAGTGTCACTAACAACAGTGATATTTAAAAATTACACACTTTTGATCAGGAAATTCAACTAAATGGATAAGACTCTAGATCTTAGTTCCTGGGTACCCACTGAGCGGTTGCAGTCATTAAATTCAGCAGGTGCTGTTGGACACAGTGCCACCAGTGCAAAAAGGATTCTTGGTCAAAAATTAGAAATGTCTTCATTTGCAACTGGCCTTTGACCTTCATCAAAAAACAATTTTTTGTACACCTATTCAAATTCCTTGCGTGTTGCAATCTCTGTCTTTGAGATTCCCACCAAAATTGAAATGGTGCGATGTGATTGCTCAAAAATAAACCCCATGATCCTCTGTGTGCTACGTTCACTGCCTGGAATTTACTGAATAATGGCAATATTGATAATAATCATGTGAAAAGTTTTAATTGCAATTACCACTTCATCTGTGCCTATGTATTCAACCATCGGCATCAAAGCTCTGGAAAAAAGTAATGACCACATGTCATTAGTAGGACAGGTATGTAACATATAATTATATTATAATCTTATCAACCACTGCAAACATGATGAAAATGTTCCAACAAACCATTCAACAAAATATATATGTTGAAACAAAAGTATGAACGTCTGCATGGCCATCCATATCTCACAGATGTCAATTTATTTTAATGAATATTGTKGGAAATTGTTTTGGGGCATCTATCTTGTCAAAGAGACACAGGGCTGGTGATATCCACTTCTTCTGTCAAGTAGCTTATATCAGAAAATCCAGAGAGATATCAGAAAATCCATCATAATTATTAGTGATGATCAATAATTTATGTTATTCAGTTTGTATTAAATGCATTTTTACCTAATGGTGTAAAATGGAACCATTCTACTTTCTTGGTCTTCTAGTGTTGAGCTGAATAGTGCAAGCAAGGCAGGATATTGAGGTTTAAGCTGGAATTAAAATAATTACTTAAGTGATCAAAGTAAGGTTCATTGATTCTTCTACTCATTAATTTATTTATAGATTCATTAAACTATTAATTAATTTATTCTTAACAATTAATTTATTCATTAATTTATTTCTTCATTTACTTATCTATTTTTGATTAATTTATTCTTGATTGGTTAATTTATTCTTGATTGGTAAATTTATTCATTGATTAATTTATTCATCATTTTATTGATTAATTCATATCATTCACCAAACAAGAGGAGCAGCATACCTGTTCTCCTACTGAATCTGTTACTGAGCTCAAGACAAACATCCCCATCTAAAGGAAAATTCAGAAAAAAAGGTATGCAGATTAATAATACATGCACCTCAGACATCTACTCTTTTCATCATCATCATCATCACCACCACCATCTGAATATTCAACATCATATTCATCATCGTATTCATCATATTCATGATCATTATCATCATCGTCATCAATTAGCCTATTTGCAATTTTTGCATCAGTAGTCAAACACAAAAGAATCAAGACATAGGTGCCGTGCGTAAAGCTCAGTCAATTGTGAAAAACTATTGTGATTTCACAAATGACCATGAGCTTTATGAACGATACCTCGTCTTGATCCCTTTGTGTGTGACTACTGAGGCAAAATTTTCAAGTTGGCTATTGTACTCAAAAACACATACTTCTCTTTGTTCTGGTTGTTTACTYTTGATGTATTCCTGTAAAAACTGCAAGAGCTCAGGCCACTGYCCAACAGGGACCTCAAACTTGGCAATAACACTCACAACCTGTCCAGCAGCATGTCGTACAAGTTGAATGGGTTCTTGAATTAATAYTTGAAGCAATGATTGCTTGAGCATTGCATGCATTTCAGGGGTGAGCTTTGTCCATTGTTTGACAACTCGTCKTCTAAGTAGGACAGCTGCATACTGACGAACCTACATGTAGATACAAATTATAAAATAACTATTACAATGTAAATTCTAATCAAGAAAGTTTTGACGAAGGAAATGCACAGATAATCATCAAGCRTGGTTATTTATACATCACTTTATTCTTATCAAGGATTTTACATAAAAAGCAACAGCAAATAAACAAAAACAAAACAAAACAAATCGAAATAAAGAGAAAGAGAAACATTTAATCCATCAACTTTCGATCGCTTTCGATGTGATACACAGTATGTATAATAGACTTCTGAACCTTTTACGTCACTACTTGATTTTCAATGCATTGTGGGATCAGTTTCAAGAGAAAACAAAAGAAATCCGCCATGTTTCGTCCCAAAGATATCCTACAATGCATTGCGTATACGGTACATGACGTAAAAGCTGCAGAGATCTATTTAGTGTCCTCCCCAGGCAACCCTTTTTTTTCCTCCTTTGGGCTTCCTTTTTAATGGTCATATTGACCTCTATGGACTTAGTGACAAGAGAGAAAAATAAGAGGAGAATATGAAAAATGACAAGAGCCTCCTCTCTCTAGCTCCCAATTTTCCTTTTTTGATTCCCAGCAAAARGACAGGAAGCCCATGGCTCTTAGTGATGTTAGTGAGGGGACTATGCATGAGTGATCACCATATAATAATAATCCAAATGACTAGATCAAATGTTTATCATACAACACACATACTGCACAACAACAGAGAATTGTTGTATGGTAAATTAAGAGAARATTTGAAGGACAATTTGCATTCATTGAAGAATGAACTTATTGCAATCAAACAAAGCAAGGTGGCCCAAGGGGAAAATATTGGACTACACAACAAKTCMAGACATACAACAAAAAGTGTTTGGGATGCAAATTAATTATTTAGGCAATATCATATGGAGTCAAGAGGTATTACTGTATATATATATTCTAGGACGTACAGCCTTTTGCAAAAATTATGAGAATTGTYGAAATATCTAAATATCATAATATCAAGTGCATGATGGGTAATCCCGCGCGATGCCCTTAGTCCCTTGTCTTTGTAGTTTAGTTTTGTTTTTGGCGACTTACATATCCGTAGTTCTGAACATTTTCTCGATGTCAACAATGAATTATTCTAGCAAACCCGCGTGTTCCGGACAATATATGGATATGGATATTATGATATTTAGATATTTAGATATTTAGACAATTCTCATAATTTTTGCAAAGGGCTGTATTCAGCGCCATTTACATGTAGGTATAATCACAAGTGGATGATGGGATTTGGGACACCATCTTCCCAAACAGCAACACTTGATAATATACAGTACAAACTAAATGACATAATAAAATGTTAAGAGCGATACTTTAAGATGGCATTCGAACGAGAAATATTTCAGTAAAAGCAAGTTAACCTTTTTGAGTGCGTAAACTCTGCATATGGTGCTGTCAGGAATAACTTAAGCTTACATGTAAGTAATAATAAATTAAGCTTAAAAAAGTCGAATAATTTATATATATCTTTTATTTGATTTAGCAGTCTGGCGAAACGGCTCATTTATGTTATATTCCTCTTCATCTACTGAATATTAAAAATATTATGACGAAATGCATGCTGAAGTTATGTGTTGGACACTGCGCGGGAAAATAAAATAAACACTGCGAAGCACGATAYGACTTCGCAAAGTCAGTTAGTTTTTCCTTCCAATATCAAAAGATTATTACAACGACAATTTTTAAACAAACYAAGACCCTAAATGTACAATCACTTCAATCAAACACAAAAATAGTTTTTAAAACGCTATCTCACCTGCTGATTGTCMGAGGAACTCAAGACTGTRATAAGCGATTGTACAACAGCTGGGTTTTTGAAGGCCTCCCGAAGCTCTGCAGTCGCCTGATAAAGAAATAATTACACAGCGTGATCAACAAAAACCAGGTTATTAAAGCCGCAAAGTTTCTTCTTAATAACCTGTTTGATAACGGCGTTATCAGGGACGAGAAGTTTCAGCAACACTTGCTCAAGCTCCGCCATTTTGTTCACAATTTTTTTGACTAGGTACTAGGCCCCCGCGGTCAATGCTCCACGTGCTGAAGGGGTGTAAATACTGAAAGGGTGTGGCCAATACAGGGGTGCTGCCTCGCCATTGTTTATATTTACCGAAATATGGCGATTAATATAAAAATTAGGCAAGATCTAATATCGGTGCTCAACATAGCAGAGAATGTTCATCAGAATCGACTACTATTTCGCGGTTGGTAAAAAAATCGCACCAATTTTATCGGGTGCAAGTGTGCCTTAAAAGATACAAGATCGTTTCACGCCTAAATGACGCAACGAGCAWCCTTTCCCCCTGACATGTATATGGGAGTCCTCCTCCAAAGTCAGAATGGCATTACGTTGAAAGTTTTATTACCTCAATCAGTTGGCGACATAACTAATCAAAAACATCAATAAATGTTCAATAAATTTATTTGTTGAARCTTTACAAAAACCTTACAAATATGYTGATATACCTCACGTTGATTGTCAGACTAAAACGAAGTTTATCAATCATTCTCAAACGCAATAAGCTAGCTTTATTTGTATGCACCTTAGTGCAACTTGTTCCCATCTGGGAAGTGAATACAATCAGAAAACCGTTTTTTGGTATTCGATGAATTTTTACTCACAGCTTTATACATGACAATATTAAGTAGTTACTGACGGTGYACTACTATCCATCAGAGAGCTCTTTGAGTAGACAGTAACGTTTTATACATAATTATTAAGTTCTTAAAATCACATCAAACGGATTTGTTTTCCAGTGACAATCAAGAAGTCTTCATCTTGAAGGATTTTCAGCGCGCCATCATARTGTTCYCTTGAAACAGGCTGSAAAAAGACAWCAAAATCATACTAATGTACAAATAACAAAAAACGTTTTAAGGGCGATACTGGGCTTCTTAATAAAAGAGAAAACAAAATTATTTTGTTTCTCTTCAATTTACAGAATCACTCATTGACTTAAACTACTTACTGCATCTGATGCATCTCTGATTTCCTGGAAAGTCCTCTGGTAGTCCACATTGGCAATCTTYCCTTTACCTTGTATCAATTCCTTCAGTACTTTAGCYAGTTCCATGCGCTTCTTACGATCTGAACCACTAAGGCCGGTAGTCAAGATGTTAACATCAATCAGACCAGTCTTTGGATCAGTGGCAGATTGCTTGAGGGCCTCCCGATGAAGACTGCAAAGCAATTGAAAAAAATAAGTGCAAATCATTAAACCCAATAGAAATTATGTTCCTTTCCAGAATCATGACAATTTCCACTCTGATCATTCAACTGATCATTCAACACTCAAGAAGAGAATGAACACGTTCAAGACTATCGTTCAACACTCAAGGATATTGCTATAAATGAGTCAATTGAAAAACTGATAAAAACTCGGTTTTGTTCTTCAATGTCAAATTGCTATGACAATGATAGCAATTACTATGACAACCAAATTCACCGAACATAATAAAACGCATCTTACCGCTTTGCCTCTTCAACATCTACGCTTTCTACAATATTTGAAAGCCTCATTCGTGCATGGGCTTCAGAGAGYCTAATCAATGACTCAAGCTGCCTAGGGTAGGCAGTTATGGCTCCACGGCTACTGCCAACTTTACGCATTTCTAAAAGATATTGAAATAATTTAGTCAACACTTCACCAAATRCAAATGAAATAGTTATTCTGTTAAATTCCAAGCTTAACAAATGCCCAGCTCACATTAAACCTTTTTGTTGTTTTGTTGTTTTTTGTTTTTAAGGTTAAAAGTGCCCTTAGTGCTTATCTAGTGCCCTCACCAACATAAACTTGGATCAATGCCTGTGAAGCTTCCTCACTGAGCTTTGGTGAAATACAAGCTCTGGCATATCCAATGTAGTCTTTCAGGATACCCATGTCCTGTTGAGAAAAACAATTATTATTTATTGTACACATGTTAAAAATGGCATTCTAGTATAATTAGCATAATATTATCTTCAAACAAGATGAAGTTTTATCAACAAATTGAAACCACTTCTCCTCTGGGTAATGCCTTTTCAAGAAGACTATGTCACTCTATTGTCCTATCTGTAATTTGTTTTGTTCTTTTGCAGTTTTGAACAATAAGTTAATCCTTATCATAGTACAGTTTAGCTAATCCTACCAAAAACTCCTCTTCCTCTTCTTCTTGAGTCTGGTAGTACAAGGACACAAGATGTGTAGCAAGGCGTCTGTCAAAAAACTCATCTTGCGGATCCAGCATTAGAAAAATCAAATCAAATCTGTTGAAGAAACAGCTTAGACATCAGAACATGACCTCAGTGATGGTAATCAAGAATCAATAGGACATGCATGACTTGTATACAACTTTGTTGCTTTTCAAATTTAGAGTAATTGGCTAAGAAAAATTCAGAAAGCTCTGGCCATTACAATTTAGCAGTCATGGATTGTACTGTTATAGTCCTAAATATTATAGCCTGTATTACATCTGGTTTTATTTGCCAAAATGATAAATAATTTGCCAATTAAACTCATCTGCTCAGATGAGTGTGGAGATATGTGCCATAAATTGGTCATGCCGGCGCGCCACCGGACATGACCAGGAGGTAACCATGGTAACCAAACCACGGTCCACCACCTGGCACAAGTCACATTGACAAAGTCAATGGAGGATACTTACCTAATTGAATGTATACTTACCAAAGAGGAGGGTGGGTTGGGAATCAAAACAACATGGAGCGACTTAGTGCGCGCGACAACACATGAAGACA